AACATTTTATATGTATATGCTGATAGAGCAGCAAGTGGTTTGCAATGATTTGCCAGTTGGAAATGTTTTGTAGAGTGGAAAAGATTGCAGATGCTTTTGGACTCTATTGTAACTGGAATTTGGCTCTTGTAAAGGTAGAGGATGGCAGGAGGTGTCAGGTACTTACTGGAATGGTACAGAGAACTGGCTCTTTTTTCTAGCATTTTTAGTGATGGATTTTATATACGAGTTCACTTTTGGACTCTATTGTAACTGGAAAGTGAAGACTCAGCAGCTTTTGGCCATATATGATAACAGTACTTGATTTTCAGTCCAATTTGACTCCTGTAAAGGTAGAGGATGGCAGGAGGTGTCAGGTACTGACTGGAATGGTACAGAGAACTGGCTCTTTTTTCTAGCATTTTTAGTGATGGATTTTATATACGAGTTCACTTGAGGTATAATGTTAATTTAAGACCAAGTAGGCATTCAAGGTAAGGGTCCTCCTTCAGAGAGCACCCGTTCATTGTGATAGATGAAAATTCACAGTCAGCTCAGTGATTTGAAGTGATAAACAAAAACTAGTAACAATAAAATACTAAAGGACTTTAGTAGATCAGTCATTATAGTGCTGGTATAGAAACCAGATGTGAATGAATTCAAATTGTATCTTGAACCATCATCTTGAAAAACTAATAATTAGAATAACAAAACAATAATTAGAATTAAACAGGTGCAACATTTAGAAGCGTATTAATAAAGGACAAAGTGTGATACAGAAATCTGAAGATACACTTGGATAGTGGAAAATGCCTTCCAAAAGCTGAGTAAAGTATTAAGAAACAGAAAAATATCATTAGAAATAAAGAAAAGAGTATTGAACTGTTATGTATTATCAATCCTCCTATATGGCAGTGAAAAGAAGCCTTCCAAAAGCTAAGCAAAGTATTAAGAAACAGAAAAATATTATTAGAAATAAAGAAAATAGTACTGATCTGTTATGTATTATCAATCCTCCTATATGGCAGTGAAAAGAAGCCTTCCAAAAGCTGAGCAAAGTATTAAGAAACAGGAAAATATTAGAAATAAAGAACTGAACTGTTATTTTGTATTAGTCCTCCTCTATAGCAGGAAATACTGGACAATTTCTTCATAGATGAAGAAAGGACCTGAAGCAACAGAAATATGCTTCTACAGAAGGATGCTGAGAATACTATGTACCAAACATGTGAGCAACAACAAAGTTCTAGAAACAATGGCAACAAAAAGAACACTTTTTCTTAACATTAGGAAGAGATAGTTGAATTTTTTGTGGCTTGAAATTTTTTTGACAGCTTCAAAAATTTAATATTCACAGGACAAATTGAAGGTAAGCAACAGACAATATACTAGGTGAGCTTGAGCAAATTTTTGACTGAGCAAGGTTTGGAGGAGATGGCAAAATACAAAAGTTATAAAGGACAGGAAATTGTGGAGAGCCATGATCATCCATGTTCTGAAGTGACAAGGCAGATAGAAGAAGAAGACTGGAAATAGGGCAAAAACAAGATGGCTTTCTTCAACAAATAACTAATTGTATTTTTTTTTCAGAATACTATCAGAGTGAGTAAGAGAAGTGTAAAAAGATCAGTACCTATGTTCCATAGATTATACAAAGGCTTTTGATAAAGTATAACAAGAATTCTTGAAAATGTTAAGAAAGCTTGATTTACACAAAAAAAATATTCAAATAAACTTAATCCATAAGCAAAAAGCTTTTCTTTGTTCACCAAATAGAAGGTTCAAGAGCCACTTAAGGTAGAGTGTTTCTGAATGAGGTGAAGATTATGAACATAGATAAGAAAGATAACAGTTGACCCAAAACTCAAAGATCAGGGAAGCAATTCTTGGGAAGAAACAATCTAAACAGAACCTTTTTCTTACCAATACAATATAAAGAGAATGGTGATGATTTCTCCCAGTGTATGTGGCATGGTGGCTTCTAACTGTAAAGAACTGAACTGGTGAAACTAAGGAATGCAGCTTGTCAGAACATTTTCCATGGAAATAGTGAAAGAGTAGCAAGAAGCTTATGACATTTCGTCTGTTGAAAAGCTTGCATGAGGATAGAGATTGAGTTAAGTGAAGACACAAAAATGACAATGATGTTTTTTTCACAAGGTTTATTTATCCTGGGAAATGATTCTAAGTCGATTAGAAGACATAGCAGGATTTATTATTGACAGACATAAGCTTAACAGCATACACAGACACCATTGTGGAAATGACAGATTCCGAAGGAAAATTAAAAGAAGTCTTTGAAAGAACAGAATGCGTAGTTGTCGGTCAAATGGATAACTAAATGTATGAGTTACAAAATCTGAAGGAATATAAAAAAAAAAATAGGTCTAATAAATTAACTGTGTAGTAATAGACGATGGAAAGTGTCATAAAAATCCAAAAATGGATCAGTCAGTTATGTGCCATGCGTGTTTAGGTGATCCTTGTATCTTTCGATACATGACTGACGAGGCAGATTTTTTCCTGCAGTAGGTTGCCATTACTTTCTGCAGTAGACCAGTTGTCATCCAAGGCTATAGAACCCGGTCTGTCCTGCTATTTACCCACAGCTGGGGGGAGAAGAAGAGGATCCATACCTTTCCCAATGCTATTAGCATGTAAATGTAATGGATTTGACTGGGATTTGAACTCGGCTCTCCAATTTCTCAATCCAAGCTGCTATCCATTTCTCCCCTGCGCCTCCTCAAAAATGCATGCACATAGAAAAAGATGCTTTTCAGAAACTAAGCAAAGTATTTGTTTTCTATGTGCTGTGCCCCTTCAGAATGTACACGATCATTGCTCTCCACAACTTTCTATCCTTTGTAGCTCTTAGTAATGTTTGTCTTTTTGCCATCCCTTCCACCCCTTGTCACATTTTGATCTATTCACACCACCTGGTCAGGTAGATGGCCTGTTGACTGAACTGGAAATTATGGAGAACTATGATAGCCAATGTCCTGAAAGGATATGAAGCATAAAAGAAGAACTTCGATATTGTACTGCATGTAGAACGCCAGCCATTTACATGTCCTGTTTAAAATGCTGGAGCTATTTTTGAGTCAATTTTTGGATAAAACATGTGTTTTCTATGGTAGTTCATTTTTTCTTCTTGAAACATGAAGGAAAGTAGACAGTATATACAAATCAACTTGATAGAAAGAATAAATATGAAAGCCATCTAAAATTAAGACCTAGAGAGAATCATAACCCTTATGACTATATAAATATTCATTCAAAGATGAATCCTAAATATAATAATTATGCAGACATTTTCTGAAAATAAATCTGTAAAAGAATCCTATTAATAATAACTCATCGAACTCATGAAAATTTCACAGTTTTCCTATCTGAGTTTTTTGATGAATCTTAATTCTTAAGTTAATGATCGAATAAGCTCCTTGCAAATTCTAGATCTAAAAAATAAGCCATGGAATTTCACATATTGCATGGTTAAATATTTGAGTTTAACAACTTTAACGAAATATTGCAAAATATATTGCTGGTATTCTGTAGCACAGACACTGAAAACACACTCGCTACAAATTCGGGTTTAGTACGCAACGACGTTAACTATGCTGAACGCACAAATTCCTTCTGCCGACACAACAAGAATTCGCCTTTTTTATACATTATTGCTGAGCAATTCGGGCATGCTGCCAGCCTTGGTCTGACTCATTGATGCATGCACCTTGTCATTCCAGTGCCGATGCTCGGGTGGTCTGCCTTACTAGCAATTTGCTCGCACATATAGGCTATGCTACTCTAGCCCTCTTGGACCTCTGAGGTAATTCTTCACACAAATGTAAGTATGATTGCAGGGCATTATTCAAAGAAGTAAGAGGGTACAAATGAAAAAATTGGAAATCAACAACTATTTATATTTCACTGAAGCAAATGTTAAATGCAGGAATGTATTACACCTCTTTCTTTCTTTTTCGCATTGAAACCAAACACTGTCTTTTCCGTTTTTCCTCTTCATCAAAACAGAATGTCTGTTATTTATGAGGTATTGGTAGGGGTGTAATGTAAATCCTAATTAAGAGAAAAAAGAACAAATAGAATTATAATATGATATTCTCTATTAGAGTACAAGGAGAAAAAAGACAAATACGCCTTAGTTTTTCATAAACAATGTATTTGATCACGATTATAGCACTTTATTGGCAAATCAATTTCTTGGCTCTTGTTTGAAGTAAATTGTACTCTCACAAAGTGATTAGATAAAGAAAAACACTGTATAAAATGGTGAATATTGCAGAAATAGCTTATGACCCCAAAATTAGGTTCTTAACAAAAATAAGCCTGATTGAAAACATTACTTTATAAAGGTGAGTGGGCTTTCAAGTGACTCATGCAGAAAAAAAAAGTAATATACAGAAATAACAATTACAGTGAAGAAGACCTTAAAAAACAACAAAAGACCAAAAACCAAAAGAAAACTTTGTTAAGTGGCCAATATAAAAGGACAAATCTTTTATGTTAGAAATGGCTTCAGGCTTTAACATTAAGCTCTCAACAAACCATGCTGATATTGTCAAGATGAAAAGAAACACTTTCTAAATTTTGCCTGAGAATCGATTTCTCTTGCTCTCTACCCCTTCCCATGATTCCTTATTTAAAAAAAAACAACAAAAAAAACAAACTTCATTCTACCTACTTAGATGTTCTCAAACATGAACATCAAAAACAAACACAGAACTATCATCTCTCACCTGGCATGATTTCATTTTTGGGTCTATGCTGAACTTTATTTATTATATGAAGTTCTTACTAACACTTTTCCACCTCCATCAGGTGAAGTTTTTCTTATCATTCTGTCAAACATCCAACTGCTTCCTCTTTAAAACCAAATTAAGAAATCCTTGATTAAAATTAATCTCCAAAATATTTCCATTACTTGGCTGTCAAATATTCATGTTTATTTAACTTAGCTTATTATGGCAAAAGACCAAACACAGAGACATACCTCCACATCATATTAAAATACCAGTTCCCATATGATCACTAAAGTTAAGCAACATCAACCCTGGTCAGTACTTAGATGGGTGAACAGTTGGGAATATCAGGTGTGGTAATCTTGGACACGTGGGTGATGTAATGGATAATGGCTCAGAATTATTAATCAGAGAGCCAAATTCAAATTCCTATTGAATTCGTAATATTCACTTACACACAAATACCCTTGGGAAAAAGGTATAAATCCACCTCTTCCCCCAGCTATGGGTTAATTAGTAAGACTTGTATCACAAAAATCATTATTATCTCAAAAACAAAAAAATTCCTACAATTAAAAACTGAGGTTAAAACAAAAATTTTGTGTTACTTTAAACTGAATAATTGAAAAAAAATTAGTGATTTTAAAAGTTTTTCATTTAATTTAATATAAATTAAAAATGTAAAATCATTAATTTTTTTCAGTTATTTTAACTTTTGTATTTTTAACTGTTCCCTACTCATGTGGATAAATCCCAATGGTTCAAGCACCAAATGAAGGGCAGATTTTCAACACCGGGATTATTCTAATTCCAAAATGGTTTAATATGTTTATGTAGAACAAGTGTGGTCTGAGTTAGAGGGGTTTCAGACACACAGACAAACACACAGACAAACAGAATTTGCCATTTATATATTTAGGATATTCATTTTTTTTTTTAACGTAATGTCCTTTTAGCACTTAACTGCTGCATTATTATAGCATTGTTGCTTTGCTGTGCTGGCCTGTTTTGAGACAAACTGGAAACTGCTATTTACTGGAAATAAATGACTATGAAAATGCTAACAGTAATTTTTCATGTAGGACACCATTTTGATTTCAATTGGGTAAACTGCAGTATAGATTAAATTAAATGACATTCCCGACACAGAATATAATAAAAATATGCCAAAAAAACAGGTTTAATTGAATGTTGCTACGTGTCCTCACTCATTTGGAAATAAAGCTTAGTGCTTCTGTCTTGTTTATTTTCCATGTATTTTCAGGACATTCCAATCATTTGCAGTGCTTAGAAATATTTGTATATTTACTACTCTTCCTAGTACCTAATCTTCCATCCATTTACATAAACTTTTGATGTAGGTTACTTGATGTCATTCAATATGTCCTGTGAGTGTCAAATTCTCCTAGCTCTCTTTTCTCATTATGTGCACAAGAAATTTCAGCTGCCTCTTTCTGAGTCTAAATACAAGAATTCTTTATTTTCATTTGCTTGAAAACGTCCCTGTTGCTCACAGGCTCTGTCCATAGTATTCTCAGCATCCTTCTGTAGAACTACATATCTCTTGCCTCAAGTCTACTCTTCATCTGTGAGGAAATTCTTTGGCCTTCACTGCTACATATTATGATTGATATTACATAGCAGTTCAAATGCTTTCTTGAAATCACACACACACATATATGTATATATGTAAAAATTCAGATATAACTAGAAATATATCTGGAAAAAAAGCAATATGAATAAAGACAAATGAAAGGATTTTATTTTGCAACAATTATTTATTAAAAAATTAAAAGAAAATGATTAGATTCAAAACCTTCTGTTATTTAAAATATATAATATATAAATCATGCTCAAACTATAAATAATAATCATATTATAAAAAAAATTTCAGTAAAAACATTTACTCGCCATTGTTTATTCAGAAATCAGAAATTACATCCCTTAGCATCTTCCATAATTTAATTTGACTTTCTGTTAGCCTGAAGTATATCCATGAGTATTCTTGAATTTAAAAATTCTTTAAACTAATATAACTTTTACTTCTGTTTATAAATACTTGTTGCAAAATAAAATCTTTACATTTACTTTGATAAAGTCTATTGGAAGATGAAATGTACTGGCTAAGTTTTCCTTCTGCCTTTATTCATATATACATATATATGTATTTAGTGTATTGGGGCTGCAGATCATTATTCAAACATATATTATTAAATATAACAGACAATGAATGTCTGTTATGTTTGATCATGAGCCATTCTAATCTTCGTATAGTTGCTTTAATTTTGGGATTGAACATAATAAACATGTTGTCTGTTATATTTAACAATATATATGTATGTGCACTTGTGTGCATGTGTTTTTATTCATGTGAATGAGTAGGGTGTCGATAGCAGGCAATGTAAGATTTTAAAGGCATATAAGTACTCCTTGAAAATGTATACATATGTCAACAGCAATCAATGTAAGGTTTGGAAAGATGTCAACAGCAGTGGATGAGTAAATTTTATTGTATTTTTTGCTGGATCTGTAAAAAGAATATGCCATTCATTTAAATAATTTAATCCAATTTGATATATATCTCTCATGGGACAAGAATATTCACTTGTTAGGAAAAAATTGTTTTGAATTATATATGTTGCTTCCGTTGTACATTTTCCTATCTAGGAAGAGAAAATCTTACCCAGAAGTGCTGAGCAGCCATCTTTCACTGGGAACCCACAAGGAGAAAAAATAAGTTCAAATAAAACTGCTTTCATTTAATCACCAGAGATAAAATTTTCTGCCTACCATCAGGATGACTGATGCTAAACTCCAGTCACTTTCTGAGCAATGTGATGTGGCTTCCTTCTGTCTTTTCTACAAATATTTTCATGGCAACTGCTTGGATGAGCTTTTTTTCCTGGTTCCCCAACTACATGAATTTAAGTGTGTTATTAGATGTTATAGTCTGTTGCAATTAGATCTGTTTCTGATTCATTCTGCATGCTGGCCAGATGTAAATGCCATGAAGGCAGAGAATGAAATAGAGAAAGTTGTTTTCTGCACATAGGCTCTGAGCATCACATCTGGTTTACAAAGCAAGCCCCTGCAATGAAAGCAACACCAGCCAATCATGAACATTCCTGCTGGAAAAGGAGTTGCCCCTGGGCACTGCTAGATCTGTTTAAAAGCAGGACATGCTTAACAATCACAAGCAGTTGTGGGCCATCAGACCACTGGCCAATAAGTAGTACACTGTTGATGCTGACATGACCACTCCTCTCAATGACTGTTACCACTCCCAGGCTTGATTAATCAACTGATTCTTCATACACAGAATCCAGAATATCATCTCAACATTGTCATCATCCAGCTACAAGCCTTCGTCATCACTAATGCAGTGACCTTGGCAAACCCAACAAACTACACTGGCTGACTATCCAGCTTCAACACTGCCAGGCTCCAGGTACCAACTATTGCGATTGATAACATCTCAATGTCAACACCACTCTGCTACAAGCCTTCCTTGTTGTCAATGCCATCACTTTGGCAAATCCAACTCTGCAAGCAACTCCGACTTCACAAACAAACATGCGACTCTGACTCTGCAAGCAGGTGATTCCATCTTCAAAAGCAAGTAACTCTCCCTCTGCAAACAAATGACACTGACTCTGCAAGCAAGTGACTCTGACACCGCAAACAAGCAACTTTACCTCTGCAAGCGACTTCAACTCCACAAGCAAGCAACTTTGCTTCTGCAAACAAATGACTTTGACTCTGCAAGCAGTGACTTTGACTCCGCAAGCAACTCCAATTCTGCATGCATACAATCCCTTTACAATTAATGCATCCTACTGTGAATTGACTCACCACCATGAACATGATTGACCAACACGTGCAAAACACCAGATCCTGTAACTTTGGTGAAACCAACACAAGAAATCTGTCAACTCCTGATGATCAACAACTGAAATCAACATTTCACTATTTTTTGATAACTCTGCAAGACAACCTATATGCACATTGTTTAAAAACCTAATCCTTGTTATTCCTTCCCTTTTGCAACCAAAAGCCTATTATAACATAAATTTTCAACTAGGTCTTATTGTTTTACTGTTGAACTAGCTGGATGCAACTGCCATTTGTACTTCTACTCTAACAGTATTTTTTTCTCGCACTTCCCAACTGTGGAACTCCCTGCCGATTTCTTGCTTCCCTGATAAATACAATCTTCAAAAATTTAAATGTAACATCAATCGTCATCATTTGTCTTTTTGAACCCTGTTTTTTTTTTTTTTTTATCCTTTCCTCAATCCTCATCATTTTCAATCTTCTCATTCTTGTTCTCATTCTCTTTCACTTTCATAATTCCCTGCATTCTGGCGACATTGTTGCCTTGCTTGGAGTGAGACAATTAAAGAAAATTTTTTCTCCATCATTTGTCCGAGTTTCTTTATTTATTTACTGAGACATAAAAAAAGCTGGTTGAACATTCTCTGGTGATTCCATAAATGTTTTAAGAGTGGTATATACCATATTTGCTGGCATATAAGGTGCGCTGCTTTTTGCTAAAAATATATTTTAAAATTCCTCTGTGTCTTATATGCCATATATAGGTTTAAAATTTGTGATAGTCGAAATTAGCTACCTAGCAACTCCTATTAACTTAGACTTTACAGTAATTTTCATATACAGTGTAACCCGGATATAAGAGAGTTGTCAGGACCGGAGAAGAAGTCTCTTATATCCGGGTTTGGTCTATTTTATATACATTAACACAGGCTCTCTTATATCCGGGTTTCTCTTATATCCGGGTCTCTTATATCCGGGTTACACTGTACCTATTGTCCTTATTTAAAAGACTATTATGCAGATTAAAAGTGTTATCATTCATAATATTTATTATATTAATTTAATCATGTTTAATATTAGTACTTTGTTTCATTAAAATTATATGCAATAAATTCAAATTATATATTTGTAAAATATATTTGTTTCATTAATATTTTTCTTGTGATAATTTCCAGTTGCATTGGTATAAATACAATCAGAATTTTTATATCCTAATTATTCCACTAACACATTTACAATTGCTTGAGTTTTTATTTTGTTTTCTTATCTTTAGATATAATAAACTTTTTATAGGCTTGTGTTTTTGTTTTCTTAATATTTTTCATTTAATTATAATCATGGCTTGTTTAAGCAAAATAATATCTCATAAATATAGCCTAGGCTGTACCATTTACTAATAATTTTACTAATTTTACTAATTACTAATTTTTTCTTGATTTAGCCTGATGAAATTGGGGTGGATCTTATACACCCTTGTGTCTTATATGTCGTCAAATACATTACTTTTATTTTCAACAAATGTTGGG